CACCTTGCTCCGTAGGCCGCTCCAGTTCGAGGTCGTCGGCCACCTTGGTTTTTTCCTTCAGGGCGGCAACATAGCACTTGCGGGACTCAAGCTGGTCGCCTCGCGCTACCCCCACACCGAAGTCTGTAGGAAACTTCATTGCCAAGTAGTAGGTGGAGACCACTGCACGTAGGATATGAGTGATTGGCCGCCCTATTATGGCATTGTATGGGGAGGGGGTCGCGACCACCAGAAAATCGTGGTTGAGTTTAACCGCACAGGGCCATGTGCCGAGTTCCACAGGTACTGTTATTTTCCCAAGGGGCCTGACTTCCTCTCCGCTGAAGCCCACCAGAGGAGTGTTTGCGAGCTTCAACTCGCTTCTCTGCAACTGAAGCTGGTCAAACGCCGACTTGAAGAGAATGTCCACCGAGCTACCTGAATCAACAAGCACGCGCCTGACTTCGAAGTCGCTGATCCTTAGTTTTATGACAAACGCATCATCGTGGGGGTAGTGGACCCCTCGCGCATCCTCTTCCGTGAAGAAAATCGCTTCCTCCGTCTTTGCCCTCTTCGGAGGGTTCTGTTCTTCTTGGGCAGCTTCGCGAACTGACGCCCAGGCCGCTGTCGAAGTACAACCCACTACTACCGAACCTCCCACTATCACGTGGATGGTTCCTTGAACTGGCCTCTCTTCCGGAGGTTGTCTTTGCGACGGTTCAGTCGGCCTGCTGCTGGACTCAGGGGCATCCTTACCGTGCTCCCCTTGCCGACCTATCTTATTATTATTATTATTATGCTATACAAAATTTCTCAAGTACCCGCGACGAATGAGTCCCTCTATCTCGTCCCGGAGATTATTACAATGTTCGGTACTATGACCGTGGTCTCTTTGGAAAGTGCAGTACAAGTTTTTGTTCCTCTCGTTTGGGTTCCCTTTTAGGCGAGGTGGTCATTTTATGTACGGGGCGTCTTTGATCGTCATCAAGATCTCAGCCCACTTCGCGTTTAAGGGTGTGTAGTCCATCCGAGCTGCTAAGGGAGCTTTGAACGGCTGGCTCGGCTTCGTCTCCCGAGCTGGATCTTTCCTTCTTCTGTCATCTGGGTTGGAGGGCTCGCCTTCCCTCTTCCTTTTCTCGATCCCGCTTTCGGTCCTTTGGTTAATCTCCTCCTCTGTTCTCATGAATTTATCTGCGAGCTTGAGGAATTCAGCTACGGTCGCGGGCTGGCTAACTACCATGTGCCACTTGAACTCCTAGTGTGTCACTCCTCTCTTTGCTGCCGCGAGCTGCACCGTGGGGTCCAGTCGCGGTGTACCATGCAAGCACGCATCATTGAACCGCTTGATGTAGCCCCGGATGGACTTTCCTCTCTGGACTACTCCGAAGATGCTCTCCTCGGTTCTGGGGCACCGCTTGCTGGTAACGAAGTGCGCGGTGAAGACCTGCACGAATTGGGTCTCGCTTCTTACTGATCCGAGGGCCAGGTTCCTGTACCAGGTGCGGGCCACCCCCTGAAGGTGGTAGTGAAGGCCACACAGATGCATGATTCATTGGCCCTTGCCAGGTGCATTTGGGACTGGAAGGCATCGACGTGGTCGTTGGGGTCGAAGGACCCATCATACTTGTCTAAAGGGGGGAGTTTGAAATCTCTAGGCATGGGGACTGCAAGGAGTTCTGATGAGAGGGGGGAAGGGACTGAGAGAATAGGGGTGGCTTTTACCTCGTTTGAGCTTGCCTCTTCTTTACCTCGGAGCTCGGGCAGGATGCGGGTGGTAGTTCGACGACTTCGTTGGCGTCTTCATTGCTGAGTGGGCTTGGTACTGGCATTGCTGGCCTCGGTGTTGCCGAGCTCGATGGGCCTGGACTGTTGGTAGTCCGCCGCTAGGAGTGCCGAGGTGCTGACTTGGCGGGCGAGGTTCCCGACCCGTCAGCGAGTTGCGAGGCGGGGGTGATTTTTCTTTCCCCCCGGCCCGGGGATGAGGCCTGGCTCTTGGGGGGTTCTGAAGTTGGGAGGCTTCTCCTCGGTGAAGGCACCCACCCTGAGGGGAGGGCTTAACCGGCTCCGGAGCGGGGTGCCGCGGTTGAAGCTGTGGTTGGTTCAGAGGCAGTTGGGGGAACTGCTGCTGATTGTGATACTGAGAGATGTGGTGCAATACTTGGTGCTGGTGGAGCTGATGCTGCTGGAACTGGTGCATTTGGGCTTGCATTGCCCGCATGCACTGCATAAAGTCATCAAACTGGTTTTTGCTAGTCGCCAGGGGGACAACAGTTGGTTCGGTAAAGGTTGTCTCGACAGAGAGAGGAAGGGGGACATTCATGGCGGGAAGGTTCACGGGTGCCACTGTTCGTGGCGCATTCAGGCTGGGGATCCCATCCACCGGAAGGGGGATGGTGAACTGTCCGATGCACACCACGGGGACTTGAAGTTGTTCCCCGGTGGCGTTCATCTCCGTGCTACGTCCAGCATTGCTGGAAGAAGCCATGGGTGTTGGGGTTTCTTGGAAAAAAAGGGGTTATGAGAGTTTTAGAGGGAGGCTTTTAGAAGCGTTCCCACAGACAGCGCCAATTGATGGAGTGCAATCCGGTCGGTCCTAGCTGTCAACGATCTTGCCTCTGGCTGGAGCAAAAGGTGCTTGAAACAGGGAAGAAAGCGAGTAATCTCCGAGGAGGAGCCCAATGAGAGTGCTCCGAAGCTCAAGTTAGTATTTCCTCAGGCAAGATGAAAAACCAGATGACGCAAAGTTATCACGTACCTTCCTTCTTGGGGGGAAGAGGGCCTTTTATAACCACTTCGTGCACTCACTCCCAGGCTTCTGTCAGGTTGGGTATCATTACCTCTGCACTTCTGCCAGTTCGGGTGTCATCACCTCTGCTGGGGCAGACAACCGCCACTGCTCTCTTTGTCGGAGCCGTCTCTGTGACTGGAGGTGGCGGTGGTAGGTGGCAGTGGCAGATGGCCGTTGAAGTGCGGTTGTCAAGCGTCAGATCCTAAGTCAGTCAGGTGTGCCGCCTCAGGATACGGACTCCTTTGGTGTTAGGTACGGTTGTTCAATTCGGCGGCCTGGAGACGAAGTGATGGAGTGGTGTGCGAGGTGAAGTCTTGAGTTCGGGTAGAAGTGTAGCCCAAGTTGCCCTAGGGTGGGCCAATTCGGGTTGTTGGGGCTCCTTTTGGGAGAGTTTGGGCTCCTTTTGGGGAGCTCGGACTGTTGGTTCCTCCTCTCGGAACTCACGCCTTGAGCGTACTGTCGTGCCGAGCTATTGCTTCTGCCAGGCCATCTCGGTTGTTTCCACGTGTTGGGTGGTCAAGAGGTCGGGCCAAATCTTCCTTCATCAATTTTCTTTAACCGACCCTACCTGATCGATTTACTCATTGACTAAACTAAAACTGATTGACCCTGAAGCAAAACCGACCCATCGGTTTAGTCGGTTTTTATATATATATTTAAACTAAAATATCTATATTTAAATATATATTTTTATTTAAGTTGATTTCTTTTTAGTTTTCATGCAAATCTAAAATATATATTTAAACCGATTAGTTTTTTATGCAAAACTGGTTTTTTATCAATATATATTTAAATTTATACAAAACTGAATTAGATATTGTACCATTGTATGATCAAGGAGATGTAATTTGAAGAAAAATATAAAAACAATAATTTTTTCGTATAATCAATAATTTTGTAGCATTTTTAAAGTTATTATAAATTTTGTTATTCAATTTTATTTAAATTATTTGCTATTTTTTCAAAAATGTAATTTTTAATTTGTAATTGTATTTATAATTTTTATATTTTATTCCATTTTGTTAAGTATGTTTTTTATCATTGTATTGTTCAAGTTTCAAATTTAATTTATTGCCCATTTGGCATTTTGTAATTTGTTAAGATAACAAATTTTTATTTTTCAATTTGTTCACATGTTCCCAAAAAAGTTAAAGTATTAAAAAAATTCAAAATGCAAAAAAATAATCTGACCCAATTGGGCCCAAACCCGCCTAGAACCAATAGCCTAACCCGATACGGCCAGCCCAAGCCGCTGGCCGTTGGCAGGCCATGCCAGCCCACAACTCTACATTCTCTTGTAACTGAATTGTATTTGAGTAAGAGTGTAAACGGATGAAATTCGATTTGATATCTATCAGATATTAAAAATTAATATTAGAATTCGAATTAAATATTCAAATATTAAATTCAACTAATTAATTATTTTAAATAATTAATAAATATACAAAATATATAAATATATAAATTCTATAAAACATTTAAAAATTTTATATATTATATATAATAACTAAATAATATTTGAATATTATAATATTTAAATTCAAATTCGAATTCGGCCATTTAAATGTTGACCTTATTCAAACTCGTATGCATGAATAGGATATCTTAATTCGGCCTATATTTGAGTCTCCTCGGCATATTGTGTCCAACCACCACGTGGGTGGGTTTTGTCGACCAAGGTATGATGTCATATTTCGGTGTTGGTCACTTGATTTGTATTCATTCATTATTGTTTTTCTTTCTTCATTCATACCCAAACTAAATTATATAAGCAAAGCCCAAGCCCAAGCCCAAGGGTTGATTGAAACTAATTAACCCGGTCATCCACCCCTCTCTTCCTTTCATCAACATATACACACCATGAAGTCTGTAAGTACCCATCCATCAAACATTTTGAATATTTATCAGATAACGGCTCAAGCTCAGTTTTTTTTTGAAGGATAGTTATCTTTCAACCTTCCTCATGATGAGAAAACACTGTTAGGCTTTTATGTTATGAGAAGGAATTGTGGGAGACCCCTGTAATCCGGACTGTTAAGAAAATTTTTGTTTAGTTTCTAAAAACCTTACCTTACCTTCCATTAACAGAAACTGTTCAATTTGGGCAACAAAACTAACTTCATCCTCTATTAAATAATTGTTTAAAAATAAACAAAAATATATTTTTATCTTGTAACCCAAAGGTTCCAAGCCATTTAACGCATTTAGATAGACAAAGAGATGAACCCTCAAATTTGAATATAAAAAGATAGTATTAATAGATTACATCGTTACACAATTTTAATTTTGATTTTGATTCATGGCAAACTCAAATTGAAGAGTCGTATATTAAACCTGCAAGAGTCCATTCCGTAATCCTCAGAGATTACCTATTGCGCAGCATTCTTCGTCGGAGCCCAAACGAGTTTTCACCTCCTCTGACTCTGTCACTCTTCCTCGAGGCGGTGATGCCTTCTCTGCCTCTTCCTCACCAGGTCTCGACTGCACCGTCAAATCCTCCTTCATAGAAACTCCTTTATCCGCACTACTGACGCCTCCACCTTCTGACTCCGTACCCATCCCTTGCATCTTCGATACCACCACGCTTCCTGCCTCCGCAACTTTATCATACACTGGAGCTAGCGTCTCCGTCACCGCCGCTGCAATTTTCTTGCTATATTCACCAACCGGCGTCGACTTAGTCGAGTCCCCACCTTCAGGTGTTTCATGAACCACCTCCCCTTCATTTCCACCATAGCCAAGCTTTGACGCAACTACGTTCTTTGCAGAGATTGCTTTCTCGGCGATTGCAGAGGTTGCGGAAGAAATTTTCTCAGTATGGCTGGGCTGATTTGTTGGTTTTCCTTCCTCTACTTGAGAGTGAACTACAGCTTCGGTATCAGGCACCGACTGGAGATTCCCTGAGGCTGTATCAATGTGACTGGGAGGCAAATCTCGGGAGGACTGATGATGCTCATTTCCCTTATAAGACCACGCCTGTGGTTCAACCTGTTTAGAGTCTTTCATATTCCCAACCGACCCGAGGATGGGTTCGACCCCTGTTTCCTGTCCTCCTGTTTAAACAAGGATGATCAGTAATTGAGTTGAGACAGGGACAACTCTGAAAATAAAGTAGTCCACCGGTGGTAGATGTGAGTTACCTGCGGCTATTGGATCGGTAGCATTGTTCTGATAGTTTGGAGCAGGATGGGATGCAACATCTCGGTCCTTTGGAGGAGCAGGAGAGTCCTTTTCCAAGGGTGGTAACTGCCCACTCGTAGCACCCAAATTCACCCGCGACTGCCCTAAAGCAGAAGCAGCCCCAACTTCTCCGGCCCGAGCCGTTGTTGACTCATAGACTGAAAGAAAATACAAAAAATCATCAAGACAACTTCTAATGAAATTGGAAAATGCGCGCATGCATATATTGTCGAGAAGAAAATAAACGTACTGGGTGCTCTATGAATTTCGGGGTCTTGTTCAATTTGTTCATCAGTGTCCTCCTCCTCCTCCTCCTCTTCGTCTTCGTCGTAGCCCTCATCATGGTCGGGACGAATGTGATCGTCATCTTTGGCGTCATGGCCGCGTCGGCCATGCTTTTTAATACCGAGTCTGTCTGTTATCTTCTTTGCCTTGTCCTTCACCTTCTTTAATACAGACTTCTTCTCACGCTGTTCATCTTCGCCTTCAACAATTAATACAGTCTTTAGACAGTATATTCATTTAAACGATTGAGAAAAAGCCGCAACTCGATCGCAGAGGAAGAAGAAGTACACAAAGATAAGATTTGCGGAAATGAAGAAATGTTTCCTCACCAGTTTGGAGACGCACGTTGTGGGGGTCGAGTGGATTTTTGTCGTAAGCATGGGCGTGAACGGGTGCCACTTGAGTATTATGCATCTTTTGCTGCAGCTGCAATTAGTACTCCTGGAATCGAGATGAGATCAAGAGACTTCACCTTGTCGATCGCTGCAACTACAACAATTACGCTGTTGTATCTATTATTGTAGTGAGGTAGAATGTAATGTAAGATAGATGGATTGGAATGAGAACATTTCACAGATTTTTAAAGGAAGCGGCTGGAACTGCGTTTGCCTTTTGAAACTTTGGGTTGATAACAAGTGTTTACCAACTCCAAACGTGTCCTCAGTAGATATATACCAGCTTTACACGTAGCTGTCGACTCGGCAGTAATCACTCAGGTGGGTCCACGTGGATCACAAAGCCCGACCGCCCGTATTGCGGTATTGGATAGAATTTTATAATATTTATCTATAACGAAGGATATAACATGCAGAGGACAGAGGTAGTCTCTGTATCTTATCCCCCAACAGCCACGTGTCATCCAGGCGTTTCGAGTTTAAATGCAATTTTGCTAAGAAGTATAAACGAGAGCGTGTTGGGATCTATGAGCTGCCCATTTAAAGAAAGAGTTCAATGATCTGTCTCTTAATTGGCCTCTTATGTGGCAGTTTAGAGAGAGACTTTGGTATATAGCATATGAGTCAAAAATGGATACAAAACATCACACACCCGTAAATCCTATATCCAAAGCAAAGGTTCTTTCTTTGCTCCTTACTTGTGCTTTAAAGAACCATTAGATTTACTTACTTCCATATGTTAATCTATGTGTAATTTGAACATTGGATAAGATGCCAATGTAGTAGGTTGGTGTTACATTTGAGAGACAGAGAAAGAGTAGCAGGAAAGAAGGAACGGCAGAAGGGTTCTTTGTGTTTGTAAGATACACTTGAGTGTGGTGGTTCTCTCTACAATTTTTTTTTTTTTTTTTTTTACAAAGGGTGTATTCTATTACTTTTGGCTTTCTTTCATTTGTCTCTCCTTTTGTGTTGTTGAATAGTTGTTGGTTGAGAGAATGAAAGTGTGGTAAAATGGCAAGTAATTGGTTTGAGGTTGAGAAGGTTGATGGGACAAAGAATTTTGAACTATGGAAAATCAAATTCCATGATATTCTTCTTCAACAAGAATAATACAATGCTTTGTTTGGAAAGGATAACTAAGAAGTCGGAAAATATGATGATGATTGGGAACATCTTTCATATTTGGGATATGTTTCCAATACATGGTTGGGATGTATTCTGGGCAAGGATCGATCTAAGTATTGATATTGGGTATCATATCAGATAAATTAAATACGGATGCAGGTATATTTTATAAACGTATGGATACGAACGAAAGGTATAGAAAAACTTGAATACGCTAGTGAAATGCATATAAATCACATAAATACATTAATCATATTAAACCAAAAGTTGAATTATCTACGAATAAGATATAAACATATTACAATAAACAATACCGAGACTCTAGAATTATCACACTTTCACTTTTATAATTAAAATTTTCAATTTTTATTAACTTTTGGGAATATTTATTAATTTAGTATTTTATTTAAATAACAACTACTTTTTAAATAATAAATATATTTTCAGCTTTAACATATAATGTTTTTATTTTACACATAATTGTAAAATAAAAAAATAAATCATTTAAGGTAGATAAAATAAATTATATTTAATTTTCAATTTTTATTAAATTTTTTTGGGAAATTTTATTTATTTAGTATTTTTATATAATAATTCTATTTTTTCAAATAATAACTATGTTTTCATTTTTAACATATAATTATGTGTAAAATAAAATATATAAATCATAGATGAAATATATTATTTTTATAAATTTTAGTTTTTATTAAATTTTTTGGAAAAATTAAATCTTAAATTATTTATTTCATTTTTCATAATACTATTATTTAACTTGTATTAAAGATGAAAAACAATCCAAAAGTACTCAATGTACAATTTTGTCAAACTAGACACGGATACACCTCCATATCGGTGTGTATCGAACCGTATCCACCATATCGGTGGATATATATCCAGTTGTAGTGTACATACCAATATGCATGACTCGTAAGATACACATTCAGTCGTGGTGTATCCTGTATTCATGTTCATGGAAACGAATACGATACACTCCATATCGGGAGTATCGTATCGATATCTTAATCCTTGATTCCGGGGCATTTGTAGGACACAGGGCATAGATGTGAATTTGAAGATGGTGTATAGTTTGAAAATGAAGGAATGAAGGTTTCTGAACACTTGAACATCTTCCATGACATAATTAGTCAACTTGAGAGCATGGTGTGAGGATGGAAAAGGAAGATAAGATGGTGACTTTGTTGTGTACTTTTCTAGATAGTTACAACAACTTGGTTACTACCTTAAGTTGTGCCAAAGTCAACATTTTTTGCTTGAATGATGTATGTAGTGCTTTGCTAGTCAATGAACTTGGAAAAAGGCATTTTGGAGAGTTCGGGGGATAATGCAAATGAAGCACTTATGGTAAGAGGTCGACAACTTGAGTGAAGTAACTCTACCAATAAGAATTTAAGAAGCAAGTCCGAGTACCGTTCAAAATCAAAGGATTGGCAAGAAAAGGATAGTTGTTGGCATTGTGGTAAGAAATGTAACTTTAAAATGGATTGTTGGAAGAGGATTAATTCAAATTCATACAAAGGAAGTAGTAGGGAAAAGAATGGAATTGAGTCAAAGAATGAAGCCAACCAAGTTGATGAATCAACATTCGGGATAATTGAAGATGAGGTACTTATAGTTCATAGTAATATCATTTTCCATAAAAATAATTGAATTCTTCATAGTGGTGCTACTCATCACATGTGTCTATACTGTTTTTGGTTTTGCTTTTATCAACCTTGTGAAGGTGGTTCGTTTTGATGGGCAATAATACTACAATCAAGACAATGGGGATTGGAAACATATGATTGAGGATGTTTCATGGAAATATTAAAATTCTTGAAAATGTGAGGCATGTACCAAACTTGAAGAAAAGCTTGATTTCTGTATCGGAATTGGATTCAAGTGGCTACAAATTCAGCAGGCAAGGTGGAGTTCTCAAAATTTCTAAAGTGCTTTGATTGTGATGAATGGCATCCAATGTTAAAAATTTGTATAAGCTGCTTGAAAGCACAGTAGTATAAGAGAATAATGAGTTTAAAAAACAATTACGGAACCAAAGGCTTGGTCACACGAGTGAAACAAGTATGGAAGCTTTAATGAAGCAAAACTTCATTCCTAAATTACAAATTGGTGAAAAGGAATTTTGTGAACATTTGTTTATGGAAAGCATCATAGAAGAAGTTTCAAGGTCAGGACACATACTAGCAAAGATATTCTTGATTATATCCATTTCAATTTGTAGGGCCCATCACATACTATTTCTTATGGAGGTGCACCCTATTTTATCTCTTTCATTGATAATTATTCAAGAAAGGTTTGGGTCAAATTCTTGATAACGCCACCAATGAAGCTTTTTTATCATTTAAACAATTCAAAATTGAAGTTGAGAAGCAAATTGGGAAATACATTAAAGTTATTCGAATGGATAATGGTTTGGAGTAGAAAAAGAATGAATTCCTTAAATTTTGAAAGGATGAAGGAATTATCATGCATAATATTGTAGCATACACCCTTCAACAAAATGGTGTGGCAGAGCGCATGAACTGAACTTTGGTGGAGCGTGCAAGGTGTGCTGAATAATGCTGGTTTGGGAAAGAAATTCTGGGTAGAGGTTATTTCCACTACATGCTATCTCGTTAACCAGTCTTCTTTGGTGGCGTTAAATGAAAAGACACCTTCAAGAGGCATCGCACAATACTCCTTGTGATTATTTTAATTTAAAAATATTTGGTTGTGATGTTTATGCATTGATTCCTAGTTGTCAAAGGGATAAGTTGGATCCCAAATCTAAAAAAATATGTGTATTTGTTGGTTATGGAAAGAATGTTAAGGAATACCATTTATGGGATGCACAAGTTCCCAAAAAGTAGTATTATTGAAGATATGCATTTTGATGAATTTTGAGTACTTTTCAAGATTTTGGAGAGGAGAGAAAATGATGCTAGGAATGAGGTGGAGTATTTTGAATTTATGTCTAATGGAGTAATTTCAGAGAGGGGCACTCCATTTAAACCTTATGTGAATGGAAATGATGGTAAAACTGAAGAAAACATTGAGAATTTTTTAGGAAGCACCATTATTTTTACAAGACCGTCCAAGAAAAAAAAAGACATTTACTAGCACACCTAGAGATTGTGTAGATCCTTCCACCATGGAAGCGTTAAGAGAGGATGGTGAACCTACTTGTTTTGATGAAGCTATGGATGATAGTAATTCTTCAAGTTGGACTTAAACTATGAATGAAGAAAGCAATGCTCTTCACAAGAACCAAATGGGTCTTTCTCAAAAGGAAGGTATTGATTGCTACAAAATTAAATGGGTCCACAAAATCAAAAAGGGGTGTTGATGGAAAAGTTGAAAGGCATCAAGTAAGGTTAGTTGCTAAGGGTTTTTCTCAAAAGGAAGGTATTGATTTCTTTAAAATATTTGCACCAGTTGTGAAATTGGTTTCCGTTCAGCGTATTCTTGCACTTGTTGCTATGTTTGACTTGGAACTTGAGAAAATTGATGTGAAAATTGCATTATTGCATGGTGATCTTGAGAAAGTATACATGAAACAAGCTTTAAGGCAATGGTACAAGAAACTTGATTCCCTTATTCTTAGGATTGGGTATCGATGAAGTGAATTTGACCATTGCGTTTACTTAAAATTCTTTGATGACAACACTTTCTTGTTACTAGTCTTGTATGTTGATGACATGCATTCTACTTGTGGGTAGGGACAAAGTAAAAAATTAATGATTTCAAAGCACAATTGAGCAAGTCTTTTGAGATGAAAGACCTTGGTCTGGTGAAACATATTCCTGGAATTGAAATGTCAAGGGATAGAAGGCATGGTACTTTGTCTTATTCACAAAAGAGCTTTGTTGAGAAGGTGCTTAGAAAATTTAGCATAGAGAAGTGTAAGCCAGTAAGGACACCATGGGCAGGCCATTTTAAGTTGTCTTGTGAACAATGCCCAAAATTAGAAGAGGGGATGAAGAAAATGGATGGGAGTCCCTATGCTAGCCTTGTAGGGAGTTTGAGTTTGATGTTTGATATGGTATGCACTAGCCTTGTTGAGGTTTTTATTCGATTCATGGC